CAACTGGCTGGGCTAGGCAGATCGCAGGACCGGTTAGCACCCAAGACTGCTCGTACGATTTCAATCATCATTTGCGGCCGATCAATAAATTCACTCCTCTCTAAATTGGCGTTCATATATATTACGAGTGCACACGTTATAACAACAGGCGACGGGGTAAAAAAATGGCTCTAACTTCCGATCAATTTCAGTTGCTAATCCAGCGACAAGAGCAGCGCTTTAGAAAGAGTCAATTGGAATTCATTGACAAGTTACATGCAAAGCTGCTGAATCACCCATGCTTTGGGGGTGCAACGGAAGTTGACGCATTAATTTCAAAATTGCGTACAGAGCTGGAAAACGATTGCAGAAGAAATGAATATGCCAGTGAAAGCCTCTATGAATCCGTGAAAAGCAGTAATTTAAGCGAAACAATAGCAGTCACATATGATCAGCCCAGTAGTCCAGTTTTGTCTGTTTTAGAGGCATGCCCTATACGTGGCTCAAATCCTACTATCCCTGAAACAAAACGTGCGAACAACGAATCGTCCAGTTCACAGAAAGACAATATCTTATTAAGCGCCCATAAAATTGCTGCAGTACCCGCCCACGAAGAAACGGGGAACAAACCGAGCAGTATAGTGAATACAGTGGCGCCAAATCAAACCAGTCATGATGCAAAAAATTTTTCTAATGAATCTAATGATCAAGATTATCTAATTGTTCTGCCAGATCCCCATTATTTTGCTGATTCATATGTTCCTGTTCAAATCTCTTATAAAAATGGGAGAAAAATATCGGATGCATTAAATGATAATCAAGAATCCATTACAACTTTCATAGATACTGTTTATCCTAATGATTCATTATCTACTAATGAGGTTCCGAGTAAATTCAAGGAAACTGCTTCAGAAGAATCAAACGCTGGTGACCTCAAATCAATTGTCGTCGATCCTCATGATCTCGTCAGTTCTAATGGATTCCCTGTTAAATGTGACAAACATATCGCATTAATAGTAACTTGGCTATATGAGGACCCAACAGTCTTTCGTGGGGGAGGAGGAATTCGAGGAATTTAAAATCCGGATTTCTCAAAAAGGGGAGGTGTTATATCCCCTGGTGAATTATGAATGGTAAATCTGAGGTCTATTATCGACCAATGTATTATGCCTATTTCCTACTGTACAATTGTTACGTAACTAAACTATTCATATTCGTGTTTCTCTTATCATGAGCTTTATTTTGATCTTTGATTTATGATCATACGATTCTTGAGTTATAATCAGTTTATCGATTACTTTGGTTTGTATAAAAACCCAGTATGTTTGTAAATAATGATTCATACCACTGAGGCTGTTATTTGTGTTCTGGACTCAACTGGCTGGGCTAGGCAGATCGCAGGACCGGTTAGCACCCAAGACTGCTCGTACGATTTCAATCATCATTTGCGGCCGATCAATAAATTCACTCCTCTCTAAATTGGCGTTCATATATATTACGAGTGCACACGTTATAACAACAGGCGACGGGGTAAAAAAATGGCTCTAACTTCCGATCAATTTCAGTTGCTAATCCAGCGACAAGAGCAGCGCTTTAGAAAGAGTCAATTGGAATTCATTGACAAGTTACATGCAAAGCTGCTGAATCACCCATGCTTTGGGGGTGCAACGGAAGTTGACGCATTAATTTCAAAATTGCGTACAGAGCTGGAAAACGATTGCAGAAGAAATGAATATGCCAGTGAAAGCCTCTATGAATCCGTGAAAAGCAGTAATTTAAGCGAAACAATAGCAGTCACATATGATCAGCCCAGTAGTCCAGTTTTGTCTGTTTTAGAGGCATGCCCTATACGTGGCTCAAATCCTACTATCCCTGAAACAAAACGTGCGAACAACGAATCGTCCAGTTCACAGAAAGACAATATCTTATTAAGCGCCCATAAAATTGCTGCAGTACCCGCCCACGAAGAAACGGGGAACAAACCGAGCAGTATAGTGAATACAGTGGCGCCAAATCAAACCAGTCATGATGCAAAAAATTTTTCTAATGAATATAATGATCAAGATTATCTAATTGTTCTGCCAGATCCCCATTATTTTGCTGATTCATATGTTCCTGTTCAAATCTCTTATAAAAATGGGAGAAAAATATCGGATGCATTAAATGATAATCAAGAATCCATTACAACTTTCATAGATACTGTTTATCCTAATGATTCATTATCTACTAATGAGGTTCCGAGTAAATTCAAGGAAACTGCTTCAGAAGAATCAAACGCTGGTGACCTCAAATCAATTGTCGTCGATCCTCATGATCTCGTCAGTTCTAATGGATTCCCTGTTAAATGTGACAAACATATCGCATTAATAGTAACTTGGCTATATGAGGACCCAACAGTCTTTCGTGGGGGAGGAGGAATTCGAGGAATTTAAAATCCGGATTTCTCAAAAAGGGGAGGTGTTATATCCCCTGGTGAATTATGAATGGTAAATCTGAGGTCTATTATCGACCAATGTATTATGCCTATTTCCTACTGTACAATTGTTACGTAACTAAACTATTCATATTCGTGTTTCTCTTATCATGAGCTTTATTTTGATCTTTGATTTATGATCATACGATTCTTGAGTTATAATCAGTTTATCGATTACTTTGGTTTGTATAAAAACCCAGTATGTTTGTAAATAATGATTCATACCACTGAGGCTGTTATTTGTGTTCTGGACTCAACTGGCTGGGCTAGGCAGATCGCAGGACCGGTTAGCACCCAAGACTGCTCGTACGATTTCAATCATCATTTGCGGCCGATCAATAAATTCACTCCTCTCTAAATTGGCGTTCATATATATTACGAGTGCACACGTTATAACAACAGGCGACGGGGTAAAAAAATGGCTCTAACTTCCGATCAATTTCAGTTGCTAATCCAGCGACAAGAGCAGCGCTTTAGAAAGAGTCAATTGGAATTCATTGACAAGTTACATGCAAAGCTGCTGAATCACCCATGCTTTGGGGGTGCAACGGAAGTTGACGCATTAATTTCAAAATTGCGTACAGAGCTGGAAAACGATTGCAGAAGAAATGAATATGCCAGTGAAAGCCTCTATGAATCCGTGAAAAGCAGTAATTTAAGCGAAACAATAGCAGTCACATATGATCAGCCCAGTAGTCCAGTTTTGTCTGTTTTAGAGGCATGCCCTATACGTGGCTCAAATCCTACTATCCCTGAAACAAAACGTGCGAACAACGAATCGTCCAGTTCACAGAAAGACAATATCTTATTAAGCGCCCATAAAATTGCTGCAGTACCCGCCCACGAAGAAACGGGGAACAAACCGAGCAGTATAGTGAATACAGTGGCGCCAAATCAAACCAGTCATGATGCAAAAAATTTTTCTAATGAATCTAATGATCAAGATTATCTAATTGTTCTGCCAGATCCCCATTATTTTGCTGATTCATATGTTCCTGTTCAAATCTCTTATAAAAATGGGAGAAAAATATCGGATGCATTAAATGATAATCAAGAATCCATTACAACTTTCATAGATACTGTTTATCCTAATGATTCATTATCTACTAATGAGGTTCCGAGTAAATTCAAGGAAACTGCTTCAGAAGAATCAAACGCTGGTGACCTCAAATCAATTGTCGTCGATCCTCATGATCTCGTCAGTTCTAATGGATTCCCTGTTAAATGTGACAAACATATCGCATTAATAGTAACTTGGCTATATGAGGACCCAACAGTCTTTCGTGGGGGAGGAGGAATTCGAGGAATTTAAAATCCGGATTTCTCAAAAAGGGGAGGTGTTATATCCCCTGGTGAATTATGAATGGTAAATCTGAGGTCTATTATCGACCAATGTATTATGCCTATTTCCTACTGTACAATTGTTACGTAACTAAACTATTCATATTCGTGTTTCTCTTATCATGAGCTTTATTTTGATCTTTGATTTATGATCATACGATTCTTGAGTTATAATCAGTTTATCGATTACTTTGGTTTGTATAAAAACCCAGTATGTTTGTAAATAATGATTCATACCACTGAGGCTGTTATTTGTGTTCTGGACTCAACTGGCTGGGCTAGGCAGATCGCAGGACCGGTTAGCACCCAAGACTGCTCGTACGATTTCAATCATCATTTGCGGCCGATCAATAAATTCACTCCTCTCTAATCGCACGTTCATACAAATTACGGGCGCATACGATATAACAGAATATAAACGGTAGCTCCGGAATAGTACCTGTCGACTTGATTTTTGTTAATGTACAGTCAGACTAGGTCTCATTGAAATCAAAACTAGAAGGATACTAACGCATCTTATTTGACTCTGCATACACTACAACAGGTTTCAACCAACGGGTTCTAACAACTAATTTACATCTAGCAGTCATGTATCAAATAAATTTTGGTCCAAACAAGAGAATCCAATATTTGGGCGGGTAGTTTAAAAACAAAGGACATACGTCCAGGTAACCAACAGGGTCTTGTCGGTCATATAAGCTATTGTTTCATTCCCAACTCTCAACATAGTTATCACTGAAACGCTATACAGTGTTTTATCTCTTTCCAAATCCAGATTTTAAATAGACTATATTGAAACAAATACGGACGGTGTTCATACATATAGGACTCCCAGTCTTTTTCGGCTCTGAAAAGCATTTAAATATTATCTAACGATTCCTAAGTCAAGAAACTTATACCTGTGTGAATAGTATTAAAACTAATTATTAAGGAGTTAAAAGTTAGCCTGAATCTTAAGGAAAGCATAGTTAAGAATCTGGTTGCATTTACATTGGGCAAAAAATGGTCTGTAAACTAGATCGTAATTTTAAGAAATATCCTAACTGCAAACAGTTTTATTTCATCCTTTAAAACTTATATGGCGAAATGAAAAACGTAAGATTAAATCCTTTTACTTGTGGTTATTTCTGTTTAACATTACTTCCGTATATTCAGAGTGATGTTTGTTTTTATTTTCTAGTATGATATGTTATTGGTTATAATATTTATTTATTTGAGTATGATGTTATTTCAAGATGCGTTATTCCTGTATTCAATAAACATGAACTATATTGGACCGGATAGATAACATGTGATTTTATTTTAATCCATAATTAAAATGAGTATCCAATTAATAATAGATTGAGTGTATTTTCAATTAAGGTGGTCGTGTTTCGAAATTAATAAATCTTCACTTGTACCAACCTTAGTATTCTTATTTCGCGTCGTGGTTTCTTGTATTTTTCAAGTATTAGTAATAAGCGGCATGGATATTACAAAAAAACTTTTTAACATCGGTGGATATGAACAGTGTTATAAAAGATTAGTCATGCTTAGTTCTACAAGAGAAAACCTAATTAATATCATAGATTATAAACTAATGAAACAAACATACTTTTGCATTTAAAAATTTCGAAACTACGCTTTTTTCCCTATCAAAATATGTGACTTTAAAAAACAAACACTTATTAGAAATATACAAGCTAAACAACATGTACAATAATAATTTATAAAATCAATTAGGAGAAAGAGGAAAACACATAGTAACCAAGCATATGTAATATAAATAATACATTAAGTATGTGTCAGCCAGTCAGCTACAACGTAGGAACAGGCACATATATGCATCGGTCCAAGTTACTTCACCTCATTAGCACAATAAGGTGATCACCAAACTTATAGAAGTATGATATCTTTGAGAATAAAATATTATAATCTACCTGAACAAACAAATAGTGAAGGTAATAAAATGTTTAATGTCTTATTTATCTAGACCAAATATAAAGATGGTTGATGAGTAGATAAAGATTTTTTTCAATGATAGTCAACTACAAAATTAGCTTTTGAAGCAAAAGAAGGGATGATCATCATATACACAGTACTATATACAAAGTATGCAAACAGAAGAAATCGAGGAGTGGACAGAAATGTGTATATCATATATTTTCAATAGTATATACTGAAAACACATGCAGGAACTATAGAAACCAACACAGACACTTTTTTATTGGAAAATAGATCATCTATAAATTATTTGATTTTCTTTACAAAACAGGAGGGAAATATTTTCATAATAAACGATAAACGATAATTCAATTCAGCAAGTATGTATACACGATAATTATGTGATGACTTTTTCTGTTGTTGTATCATCATTATCATCGAATTCGTAACAAGCATTAATTTTTTCATTTGGTACAGCAAAACTATACTTTTTTGTTAAATGATCATGAAGTACAATAGGTGGTGGTGTACAAATCTTTTGACGTATCACTTGTAACACTGTCACAATACTGCCCATTGCTAGTATGAAATAAATGATCGATACAGCAGGTACCTTTAATAGAAAATACATTATAATCATTATACAGTAAGTTATCAGCATAATCACTGTTGGTCGTCAAGAAAATATGTATGTAATTCACAAATTATATTTACAGCTAAACAAAAAATAACAAAATGTATTTTTAGTATGGGGTTGTTGAACCCAGCTAAGTGGTATAGACATTAAGTATTCGCGTACGAGACTGGAGGTTATGAGTTTAATTGGTGAGTGTGGAGTCATGGATGCACGCTGCTGAGGAGTTCCATGCTAAGAAAAAATGGCCACTTAGGTTTTTAATTGTGATTTAACTTAGATCGGCGTATAATTTCAATGAAATAATACCCCGAAATAAAACTTACTTCCAAGAGATATTATTAGTACTTACTTACTTACTTTCGCCTGTTACTCCCAATGGAGCATAGGCCGCCGACCAGCTCTCTCCAACCCACTCTGTCCTGGGCCTTCTTTTCTAGTTCTTTCCAGTTCTTGTTCATTCTTCTCATGTCTGTCTCTATTTCTCGGCGTAATGTGTTCTTTGGTCTTCCTCTTCTCCTTCGACCTTCAGGATTCCATGTGAGGGCTTGTCTTGTGACACAATTAGCTGATTTCCTCAAAGTGTGCCCAATCCACTTCCAGCGCTTCTTCCTGATTTCTTCCTCTGCTGGAATCTGGTTTGTTGTCTCCCACAGTAACTTATTGCTGATAGTGTCTGGCCATCGGATCCGAAGTATCTTGCGTAGACAGCTGTTAATAAACACTTGTATCTTCTGGATAATGGCTTTCGTAGTTCTCCACGTCTCTGCCCCATACAGAAGAACTGTCTTGACATTTGTATTGAAAATTCTAACCTTGGTGTTGGTTGACAATTGTTTTGAGCTCCAGATGTTCTTCAGTTGTAAATATGCTGCTCTTGCTTTGCCGATCCGCGCCCTCACATCTGCATCTGATCCACCGTGTTCATCAATGATGCTGCCCAGATATGTAAAGGTTTCCACATCCTCCAAAGCTTCTCCATCAAGTGTAATTTGATTGGTGCATATTGTGTTGTATCGGAGAGTCTTGCTTTTCTCTTTGTTTATATTGAGACCTACTGCTGCTGAGGCTGCTGCTACACTGGTCGTTTTCTCCTGCATTTGTTGTTGCGTTTGTGATAGAAGAGCCAGATCATCCTCGAAGTCTAAATCGTCAAGCTGCATCCTGCCTGTCCACTGTATCCCGTGGTTTCCTCCAGATGTTGACGTCTTCATTATCCAGTCGATGACCAGGAGAAAGAGAAAGGGTGAGAGTAAGCAACCTTGCCTCACACCGGTCTTTACTTGAAACGAGTCGGTGAGTTGTCCTCCGTGGACGATTTGGCAGTTTAGTCCATCATAGGAGTTCAGTATGATATTGACTATCTTCTCAGGCACGCCGTAGTGTCGAAGAAGCCTCCATAGTGTCGTCCTGTCCACGCTATCAAATGCCTTCTCGTAGTCGATGAAGTTGATGTAGAGTGATGAATTCCATTCGATTGATTGTTCCACAATGATCCGCAGAGTTGCGATTTGATCTGTGCACGATCTATCCTTACGAAATCCAGCTTGTTGATCTCGAAGTTGGGCGTCCACGGAATCCTTCATCCTGTTTAACAATACTCGGTTGAAGACTTTTCCTGGTATTGAGAGAAGAGTGATGCCCCTGTAGTTGTCGCACTTGCTCAGATCACCTTTCTTTGGTATCTTGATCAGAAGTTCTTTTTTCCAGTCTGTTGGTACTTGTTCTTCGTCCCAAATCTTACTGAAGAGGATGTGGAGTATCTTGGCAGTTGCTGTTACATTTGCTTTCAGTGCCTCTGCCGGGATGTTGTCTGGTCCCGCTGCTTTGCCGCTCTTGATTTGTCTAATGGCCATGCTGATCTCTTCAATTGTTGGTGGGCCAATATCGATTGGGAGGTCTGTGGGTGCTGCTTCGATGTTGGGTGGGTTCAGTGGGGCTGGTCGATTCAAGAGTTCTTTGAAGTGTTCTACCCACCTGTTTCGCTGTTCTTCAATGTTGGTGATTACTTTGCCTTCCTTGCTTTTCACTGGTCTTTCTGGTTTACGGTGATTTCCAGCAAGTTTCTTTGTTGTATCATACAATTGTCTCATGTTTCCTTCTCTTGCAGCCTTTTCCGCTGTCATCGCTAAATCTTCCACATATTTACGTTTGTCGGTCCTGATGCTCCTCTTCACTTGCTTGTTTGCCTCTGTGTATTCGGCTTGTGCCTTGGCTTTTTCTGCTCTTGTTCGGCTGATATTGATTGCTACCTTCTTGTTCCTCCTTGCTTCAATTTTATCCAGTGTACCAACAGTGATCCATTCCTTGTGATGGTGCTTCTTTTGGCCCAGAACCTCCTGACATGTTGAAACGATCGCCTCCTTGATACCTTTCCAGTTGCTCTCCATGGTAGTCCCCTCTCCATTGAGTAGGTCATGAAAGGCCTCGAACCTGTTGCTGTGGGCTATGTTAAATTCGTTGAGTTTATCAGCATCTCGAAGAAAGGCCGTATTAAACTTTTGTGATGTTGTCCGCGCCATTGTCCAGTGCTTCTTGAGTTTTAGTTTCATCTTGGCGACCAGCAAATGGTGATCGGATGCTATATCAGCTCCTCTTCTGGTTCTCACATCCTCCATCGTCCTCCTGAACTTTTTGTTGATGCAGACATGGTCGATTTGATTTTGTGTAGTGTGATCCGGTGAAATCCAAGTGGCTTTGTGTATGTTTTTGTGTGGGAATATGGTGCCACCTATGACCAGTTTATTGAAGGCACATAGGTTTGCAAATCTCTCACCATTTTCGTTCCTTCCTCCCAGTCCATGTTGTCCCATAACGTCTTCGTATCCAGTGTTGTCCATTCCAACCTTGGCATTGAGATCTCCCATCAGAATGGTCAGGTCCTTGGTTGGGCACTTCTCGAAGATTGACTGCAGCCTATCGTAGAATTGGTCTTTAGCGTCTTCATCGTAGTCATTGGTCGGCGCATAGCATTGGATGATGTTCATTGTAATGCCCTCTCTCTTTGTTCTGAAGGAGGCTTTGATGATCCTTGGTCCATGAGATTCCCATCCTATAAGTGCATTTTGTGCTTTTCTGGACAGCATCAATGCAACTCCTTGTGTATGTGGGGCATTTTCTTCTTCATGACCGGAGTATAACAGAAGTTCCCCTGAAGACCGTCGTTGTTGTCCAACCTGCGTCCAATGTGTTTCACTGATTCCAAGCACTTCCAGGTTGTATTTCCTCATTTCCGCAGAAATTTGGAAGACTCTGCCAGTCTCCCACATTGTCCGGACATTCCATGTACCTATAAAAATTGTCGCTCTGGTTGTAAGAAGGTGCATCAGCCTCATGACTTCCGAATGAACTCGGCTTTCATCATGAGACGTCATTTTTCATTCTACTCCCAGGGCAGAGTTTGAATGGTTTGAATGATTTTTTCTGGTTAGCGTTTTTTTTAGCGAGTTGATTTTCTACGGGATGGGGTCGCTAACCCCATGCCCAACCCTCCTCCTTTACCCGGGCTTGGGACCGGCAGTAGCCCCTGGAGGAGCTACAGGCGGAGTTAGTACAATATGATAAATGTGAATTTTAATTTAAATTTTTTATCATATGTATAGGTATCAACTCCGCATGTAGCTCCTCTGGGGGTTACTGCCGGTCCCAAGCCCACACAAAGGAGGAGGGTTGGGCATGGGGTTAGCGACCCCATCCCGTAGAAAATCAACTCGCTAAAAAAACGCTAACCAGAAAAAATCATTCAAACCTTTCAAACTCTGCCCTGGGAGTAGAAGGAATAATTATGACGTCTCATGATGAAAGCCGAATTCCTTCGGAAGTCATGAGGCCGATGCACCTTCTTACAACCAGAACGACAATTTTTATAGGTACATGGAATGTCCGGACAATGTGGGAGACTGGCAGAGTCTTCCAAATTTCTGCGGAAATGAGGAAATACAACCTGGAAGTGCTTGGAATCAGTGAAACACATTGGACGCAGGTTGGACAACAACGACGGTCTTCAGGAGAACTTCTGTTATACTCCGGTCATGAAGAAGAAAATGCCCCACATACACAAGGAGTTGCATTGATGCTGTCCAGAAAAGCACAAAATGCACTTATAGGATGGGAATCTCATGGACCAAGGATCATCAAAGCCTCCTTCAGAACAAAGAGAGAGGGCATTACAATGAACATCATCCAATGCTATGCGCCGACCAATGACTACGATGAAGACGCTAAAGACCAATTCTACGATAGGCTGCAGTCAATCTTCGAGAAGTGCCCAACCAAGGACCTGACCATTCTGATGGGAGATCTCAATGCCAAGGTTGGAATGGACAACACTGGATACGAAGACGTTATGGGACAACATGGACTGGGAGGAAGGAACGAAAATGGTGAGAGATTTGCAAACCTATGTGCCTTCAATAAACTGGTCATAGGTGGCACCATATTCCCACACAAAAACATACACAAAGCCACTTGGATTTCACCGGATCACACTACACAAAATCAAATCGACCATGTCTGCATCAACAAAAAGTTCAGGAGGACGATGGAGGATGTGAGAACCAGAAGAGGAGCTGATATAGCATCCGATCACCATTTGCTGGTCGCCAAGATGAAACTAAAACTCAAGAAGCACTGGACAATGGCGCGGACAACATCACAAAAGTTTAATACGGCCTTTCTTCGAGATGCTGATAAACTCAACGAATTTAACATAGCCCACAGCAACAGGTTCGAGGCCTTTCATGACCTACTCAATGGAGAGGGGACTACCATGGAGAGCAACTGGAAAGGTATCAAGGAGGCGATCGTTTCAACATGTCAGGAGGTTCTGGGCCAAAAGAAGCACCATCACAAGGAATGGATCACTGTTGGTACACTGGATAAAATTGAAGCAAGGAGGAACAAGAAGGTAGCAATCAATATCAGCCGAACAAGAGCAGAAAAAGCCAAGGCACAAGCCGAATACACAGAGGCAAACAAGCAAGTGAAGAGGAGCATCAGGACCGACAAACGTAAATATGTGGAAGATTTAGCGATGACAGCGGAAAAGGCTGCAAGAGAAGGAAACATGAGACAATTGTATGATACAACAAAGAAACTTGCTGGAAATTACCGTAAGCCAGAAAGACCAGTGAAGAGCAAGGAAGGCAAAGTAATCACCGACATTGAAGAACAACGAAACAGATGGGTAGAACACTTCAAAGAACTCTTGAATCGACCAGCCCCACTGAACCCACCCAACATCGAAGCAGCACCCACAGACCTCCCAATCGATATTGGCCCACCAACAATTGAAGAGATCAGCATGGCCATTAGACAAGTCAAGAGTGGCAAAGCAGCGGGACCAGACAACATCCCGGCAGAGGCACTGAAAGCAAATGTAACAGCAACTGCCAAGATACTCCACATCCTCTTCAGTAAGATTTGGGACGAAGAACAAGTACCAACAGACTGGAAAGAAGGACTTCTGATCAAAATACCAAAGAAAGGCGATCTGAGCAAGTGCGACAACTACAGGGGCATCACTCTCCTCTCAATACCAGGGAAAGTCTTCAACCAAGTATTGTTAAACAGGATGAAGGATTCCGTGGACGCACAACTTCGAGATCAACAAGCTGGATTTCGTAAGGATAGATCGTGCACAGATCAAATCGCAACTCTGCGGATCATTGTGGAACAATCAATCGAATGGAATTCATCACTCTACATCAACTTCATCGACTACGAGAAGGCATTTGATAGCGTGGACAGGACGACACTATGGAGGCTTCTTCGACACTACGGCGTGCCTGAGAAGATAGTCAATATCATACTGAACTCCTATGATGGACTAAACTGCCAAATCGTCCACGGAGGACAACTCACCGACTCGTTTCAAGTAAAGACCGGTGTGAGGCAAGGTTGCTTACTCTCACCCTTTCTCTTTCTCCTGGTCATCGACTGGATAATGAAGACGTCAACATCTGGAGGAAACCACGGGATACAGTGGACAGGCAGGATGCAGCTTGACGATTTAGACTTCGAGGATGATCTGGCTCTTCTATCACATACGCAACAACAAATGCAGGAGAAAACGATCAGTGTAGCAGCATCCTCAGCAGCAGTAGGTCTCAATATAAACAAAGAGAAAAGCAAGACTCTCCGATACAATACAATATGCACCAATCAAATTACACTTGACGGAGAAGCTTTGGAGGATGTGGAAACCTTTACATATCTGGGCAGCATCATTGATGAACACGGTGGATCAGATGCAGATGTGAGGGCGCGGATCGGCAAAGCAAGAGCAGCATATTTACAACTGAAGAACATCTGGAGCTCAAAACAATTGTCAACCAACACCAAGGTTAGAATTTTCAATACAAATGTCAAGACAGTTCTTCTGTATGGGGCAGAGACGTGGAGAACTACGAAAGCCATTATCCAGAAGATACAAGTGTTTATTAACAGCTGTCTACGCAAGATACTTCGGATCCGATGGCCAGACACTATCAGCAATAAGTTACTGTGGGAGACAACAAACCAGATTCCAGCAGAGGAAGAAATCAGGAAGAAGCGCTGGAAGTGGATTGGGCACACTTTGAGGAAATCAGCTAATTGTGTCACAAGACAAGCCCTCACATGGAATCCTGAAGGTCGAAGGAGAAGAGGAAGACCAAAGAACACATTACGCCGAGAAATAGAGACAGACATGAGAAGAATGAACAAGAACTGGATAGAACTAGAAAAGGAAGCCCAGGACAGAGTGGGTTGGAGAATGCTGGTCGGCGGCCTATGCTCCATTGGGAGTAACAGGCGTAAGTAAGTAAGTAATGTATAGGTATCAATGCAAAGGTTTGACTTGGTTGTTTCATATATATATATATATATATATATATATATATATATATATATATAATATGAAACAACCAAGTTAAACCTTTGCATTGATACCTATAAAAACGTTGTGATCGGCAGTAAGATATTTAAATCATACTGCAAGCTATCGAAAATAAATTAATTCATGTATTAAAATTTTCAATAATAATGGGTAAAGTTCTGGATTTTATGTATAAAATTTTTATATTCATCTAAATTCTCATTTAGTCACTGACTTTGACCGTTGGTTAGAACAGCCCTAAACTTTGAGCCACTGAATTGTACAGCCTCTTAAACTCCAAGAAAAGGTGTCTTAATATACCAACAGTGTACGCTTTTCTAATAACTACCCTCCAGTACTAATTTCCATATCTAGAACTGACAAAAATATTGAATTCTTATTGTTAAACCTAGCAGTAATAAAGAAAGTTTGGTAAAGTTATAAAGATTGATGGCAGTTCAAGTGCACAGAGACTAAGCTTGACAATATTATTATTATTAAGTCATACACATGGTTTCCTTTATCATTTTGAAAAGAGCAAGAACAAAGATTCTAGCAGAATAGAATGAATTCATTTTATTTGGTTGGTTCTCGTCAGCTGCTTACAACTTGTGATATTTAAAAATCATAATAAAAATGAGTTTAAATTACTTAAATGAAAGTGTTCAGTCGGAAGTTATGTTGAGGACATACTAAATAAATTTAATAAACTGAATATTATAAATATAAACCTTCTGTAAAAAAAATTATACAACATTGATTGCGACAACAAGTTCATAGGGCCAGGAACAAGCGATTACATAATGAGTAAACGCTGATAAGAATAAAATGAGTAAAGCTCAGTTTATAAAATAAGATTAATAATCTGGAAGATATTTGGAATAAAAACTTAATGATGTAATAAATGCAAGGAAGAGTTGGAAAGGTTTAAGATGTAACGAAGGGGTATTTGTCAACGATACAAGGAAAGATTAATAACCATCTCCTTTTGAACACATAAATCAGGTTTTTGACGCCTGATATCGACGGCTTCAGCAAACTTCGGAAGACTGGAGTTTGGCCACTTATTAATCACCTTGAAAGATTGCAAGGTGTTTGGTAATTGCACTGTTTAGAGTCGTTCTTTCTCTTGATCTAAGGCTTTTTGGAACATACTCAAAAAATCTAAAATATGCCCTCCTTTCTGTCCGGCCAATGTAGCTGCTTCGATAAGTACACGTAAATATATAAATAGAGTTGGCGATAACATGAAAGGTGTGCTTGTCAACCTTTGATTGGGTTATTGAACATGTTGTTTTATACAGAATTAACAGTTTGGCTACCGGGTAAGTTCTGGCTGGTGCAGTGTTAAGCCTCCTGCTGATTATGCTTGCAACGTCATCACCTTTGAAGTTGAGATTTATAGATATTGGTTTTTTATATTTGTCAATAAATTTCTGTGGCTAGTAGTTGTCACTTAGGTACTTTTCAATGTTCATCAATTCTTCTTCCTACCCTATAAAAGTTTTTTTGACCAATGCTTTCTTGTAACTGATTGGACAAAATTTATTAAAATCCAGGTAAAGACCGTTCCAAGTACTTTTTCAACACACCGAGAGTTGAAATGTGCCGTCTCCTCTAGGTTTTGTGGCAATATCAAGAAATTGGAACATAGTTCCATAGTAAATATTATGTTAGGATGAAGAATATTGAAGAGTTCTAACAGATGGATTGCATGCCGTTTATTGTTGCAGACAATAAATACGTCGTCAACACATCTGGAGTATTCCGTCGTTTCACTAACCGCCTGTTCAAGCAGTTTTTTCAAGATACCCCATAAAAATATCTGCCATAATCGGACCCGATGGACTTCCCATTGCTACGCCATCGACCTGACGATATATGCTGTGAATATCAACCAGTTGGAGTGCTTAGAATGTCAACCATTTCTAAAAGGAAATCGACTATTTTACTTTGGTTTTCAACATTAGCTGTAGAGAGAGAGAGAGCTTTAAGCGGTCGGCTAAATAGACTGAGATGATCCATGAAGTAGATGGCTGTTCGAACCATTGATGTTAACGTCGTCTACGAAGTGAGAAATCGGATTAGAAACTATTATAGAGGCCAAGAAAATCTCCATATATATCCGCTAACAGTAGGCTGGTAGAAACGATTTCTATCGTACTAAAGTTTATCCAACACTCTAATTGTATTACTGAAGCTTTCGGAAAACCTGGTAGGTCGTTAACCATTATAGTATTTTTCAGAAGTCTATTTACTGAAACGCTGGACAGTTATGAAGGTAAAGATGTTCGGTGAAAAAAGCTTACTTTCTACATAAAAATCCGACGCCGATGGATAAAGACGAAAAATTTCAACAAAAGATTAACGACCACACAGGTTTTGTCGATCATCTGAATACAACAATTTTGAAAAAGAATGACATAAAAAAAATAGAACACCTACAATTGAATGCATAATGAGAATCTAGTTAAACTACAATCAGTGATTGATTGAAGCTGCTTTCTCTTATTCGTGGATCTTAAGAAGCATGAATACATTTAATTGATAACAAGCATACAGCTTCAACAAGTATTCATGTTAGCTTAGTGTTACATTTTGTTTTCGTTCCTTTTAAACCTTAATATAACGGATGTCAGTCACTAAATGCTGATAAAATGTAATCATATTTGCTATTTGTCCTGTCTGCATTTATAAGATATCAGTTTTATGTTAAGTAATTTTGCAAACATTTAAATAATATCTGACCTGCCATTCGTGACAATAGCTCTGTTGGGATATCACGTAAAGATTATAAGCCATGTATAGTTCAAAACCATATACTACAAATAGGAAAGGTAGGATGAATGTAATTCGACGAAACATCCATGACATGAAACCATCTGTGAAAAGAAATTATCCAGGAGAATGAATTAGCATATTACTTAAGAAGTAAATCAAATATGAGTTAATAATTTTAACCATAGTTGGTTTTAGTTGCCACACTTTGAAAGACCTTAAAATATAAAAATGAAAACCGGGAAGAGACAGCATATAAAAAAGGGACCGAATATAACGTTAGCCCCCAAATGCCCTGGTAAGGTCGAGAGTGGGAAGAGTCCACTCTCCCTCTCCAAATGCTCTCACATGGCCACGAGTATATAGCCTCTACCAGGGAAGTCCTACTCACTTCCTTCTCGTGGCCGGGGTGTTGTTCAGTAAATTGAGAGGACGAAAAGCGAATGCCTAGTGCTTTAACCGGGTTGGTGGAAACGGAAAGTCCACCTAGGAGAGTTGGAAAAACCTGATTCCAAACTAATGATGCACACGAGCTCCAGGATCCTGAGGGAACAAATGGTGTACAAACCAATTATTAGTCACCGGCTATCATGGGACTGAATCTCCTTACGATGCTCCACTGCCTTGTGGATCAGACCTTTAGGTCAAAGGCTCCAGGTGTGGCCCCCTAAGAAAACCACCTGTTTCAGTTTGGGCACCTGGGCAGTATCACAGTCCTCACACAAATCGAATGAGATTTGTGCGGCGCACATATATCTGGTGCTTACTTTTACCAATATTTATGTGCTTAAATAATAAAATAATAATAATGAATATAACGTTAACAATGAGCAGTATATCAATGAAAACTCAAAATGATATCAATGTCTTGAACCTTAGTGTATTAGTAAATGGCATAAAACCTCAATGATATTTTTCAACAACTGATAGTATTTCAAAGTAATATTACCTGATAGAATTAAAGTCCGACGCCAAAACGTACCATCACTAGGTACTAGTTACAAAACTGTGACTACAGATATTGAAGTGTTGTCTTAGGAAACTTCTCAGGTAAGTAGGTCAGTTTCGAGAGTATCAAGAGGGGAAACTTTATGTTGACAAATCTCAACTGATTTAACTCGGTAAATCACTAGAAAGCACATAGTAAAGTCATTCAGTCAGTCACAATGTAGAACTTCGTACGTACGTACATCAGTTCGAGTTGCCATACCACATTAGCACGTAGATGCAATTGTCGATCCAAACCCCATAGTGGTAGAGGTAGTAAGGGTATAAGCATTATGTGAAAGATTAGGGTTTGAAGATGTTATTCAAGGAGTATAATCCAATGAAATAGATTTGGAAAGAGAAAAAGATAGAGACATGAAGAATTCAGAAGATTAGAATTCGGCAGAACATAAAGAGTGGATGCACCTTCGCCATTGCAAACGATTTTGAGCCATGTCATTCAAGGTCTTATCAATTCACTGACTAAACCCGTAAGGAACAAAAATTAAAATCACACTAAATAACTAGATACTTTGTATTACATGACTGATTTAAGTAGAATAATATATTATTACTATTATTATTATTATTAGTGGCTTTATTCAATATTATAATCTGGTACAATATAGAATTCTCAGCACGAGTTATTTCATAGAACATAGTTCACGCAACAAACATTGAACACAGACCACAAACTCAGTCAAACAGATAATCTTAATATACAACAACACCCTACAGCACATCCATATATATATATATATATATATATATATATATCTTTCACAGAAGTCAATAAAATACTTAAAATAATAACGTCTATTGATTTACCAACAGTTATATCCATTGGATGTCGACAACCCAAAGTACGAAGTTTATACAGGCAACTTATTTGATACTGAAATTGTATAAAATGAACAAGATCTGTAAAATAGAAAAAAGACATTATCAGTGAAAATTATTTCAGGAAATATAGGAATCTGGGAGATAATCAACACAAAGAATGTACAATTATTTCCAGTTGCTCAACATTTTTCAGTTGAACATAGACTGTTAGAGAAACAATCAAAAGAACAACATCAAAATACAACAGAGAAGGAGGATAAATAAACGAATACGTGCTAAGGAACCGTTTGATTTTGAAAAAAAACACAAGTAAACAATAATACGAAGTGGGATTTTACGAACTAATTTCTGATTGCGAAAATAAAAAAATGTTGACTGTTACATAATTTATTTATTTAAACACATAAATATTGGTACGAGGGGGAACCAGATATATATGCGCCACACAAAACAATGAGAATGGGAAGAGAAAAGGAGTAAGATGCATATATAAAAAATAAGAGTAATGATGGGGGAAACTGAGATGTACAACCAAGAAGATACATAATAATTTTAATAGTTGAAATGATGAGTCAATTGAAGCTAGACCACCACAGAAAACCTGGAAGCACCGGACGGCCGTTTCGTCATATTGTGGGATTCCTCAGAAGTGCGTATCCACGATCCCACAATAGGATGAAACGGCCGGCCAGTGCTTCTAGGTTTTCTATGGTGGTCTAGCTTCAAATGACTCATGATCTCAACTATTAAAATTACTATAATATCCACAAAAACCCCCTTCTGATACATAATATCCAATGAGTGACACAATATGGCCGAGTGATAGTTGTTTAGTAGACCGAATTATTAACGTAAGGCTTCAAACGATTTGGGATAACAAAACCAGTCAGAAGAATAGGAATTTTTTAATAAAATAATATGGTTCCCTATAAATTATTAGCCGAAAAATATAGTTAAATATCACAAACGTTTAGAGAAAATTAGTTTTATAGGTTACTCACTCTCTAGTGAACTAAGACTTGACTATTAGGCCTAATTCTTGCCCATTATATCAAACAGATAAGCGAATAGTCCAACGCCCATATTATTCAAAAGAATGTTAAGTACATCCATGATATATAGTTCAATCTATTTTCGTTATAGTACAGATGTTTAATGTATAGATACCTTAACTAAACACGAATTTATGACCGAAAAATGTGATCACTAAACAAACAACATTTATTATGACGATGGTCTCTAATTCTGAATATATACATAATAAAAGTAAATGGCTTCTTAGAATATTTATTTCCTATTTATTTCTAATAAGTATCAAATCCATGTCAGACTTTATACATGACTGACCCAGTGCAAACAAAAAACATCATTGAAAGTGAACCGTTGTACCAATTAAACTTGGATTAATTTTAATTTGGTCATTTATCCTCTGAAGAAGCGGCTTACACTGAGTCACGAAACGTCAGAAAATCCAATTTTTCTACTTATTGAGATATTACAAATATATTATTTATTTGTTTTTTGTTCAACTGAAAATGGGAACTTTCTGTATTATTATCGATGATTTGATCGTTTGAAAAAAATCTGAGCATTGGGAGAGTAGTATTATCACTAGAAATCCGTATTGTCCAATTAATAAAAAAACAGAGCAGAATTGTGTTCTTGACAATGTTTCGCTAATTAGTATGGCGAAGTAATAGTACTTTGATAAAGTTATTAGCATTAAATGACAAAACATATCAGTAAAAACAATTCTGTTTTGTCTTTTCGCTGACTAAAAAATATAAATTTTTAATAATTATCATTGATGAACCAATTTTCAAAACAGAAATGCGGATAAGAACACCACGCACTTAATGAAAACAAAGCTATGTGAACACCATTATCTTCTTCAGCACAGCTTACTGACTAACAATCTAAGTTAGTATCCCAATCTATAAGGTACACTGACCGGACAGTAATAAAGAACGATACCAGACTGTTTTAATCAAAGTGGGTAGATTGTAGGCTGAACGGCAATCGGGAAAATAAATACATCTAATGTTCAATTCTAACTTGAGTATACTTTTTCTATGAGGTTAGGACAAGTCTGATTTCATTTCAGTCGGATCAATATGATGAAAATATATGTGAAAATATAAAGATTTTATTCGGTAATAATAACGCAATGTAGTTCATTAAAATAGGGCCATAACTTCAAAAAGATTTTAGCGAATTCGATACTAACTTCTATGTGATTGTTATACATAGAAAACTCACACTTCAACCATTTTAAGTTATTCACACTGAGATGGATGATATCATAAGTGAATGGTCGAAAAACGTGACAGTCCTTCTTATGCTTAGTTGGTCATATGGTCTGGAAAATTTCAATAAGGATAGTATTTACATAGACTTCTTGCTGAAGAACGACGATAATGACAAAAACAGAGACACCCACTCAACAGTCAGTTATTATCAACATAGAATCTGGCACAGATGTGCGTTGGGTCAAGTTCCCATGCTGAATTAGCACGACGAGATGAAAGTAATAAGATGATTTGAGGAATGTGCTGTCAACGACAAGGAGAAAGACTAGAGATTGAGAATAGTGTTCAAAAAGACGAATTGGGAAAGTATATATGAAGGAATACTTGAATACAAAATCTAAAAGACAAAGAGTGGATCAGTCCGAGCCAATGTAAATGACTTTGAACCGTATGGCCCATTATCGCCAATCACTGATTGCGATTGCCTTGCAGGCGCTGACCAAGTAGTCTGCACCAACTGACACGGCTTAGACCAACGGTCAATGACTTGACGGACTGACGCCATTTCTTGGTTTGGCTACCACTAGCTTCCATTCAACTTACTTTTACTCCTACATTAACAATCATAGATAGTCTAGGTAGGAAGCGGTTAGGCACATGTAACATATATTCTGACCAAATTAGTCAATGAAGATTTACAACCTCATCAATCGTTTTCCCACTTTTGTCAAGTGCCCTACGGCTAACCTCAGCATTCCTCACTTAGTCGTTCCACAAAACGCTAGCAATGCTCCGAAGACATCTATGACCGAAAACCCGTATCAGAAAATATATTTTCTACTCTTAGAGACCATGATGGAGGCAATAACATGATACAGTCCGGATTGCTGAGCATTATACACGCCTATTGGTTGCCAGGTGGATATCGCGCAACACACCGAATATTCAACCTTCGACAGATTCTGGAACATAGGCATACTTTTAGAGGTCCGACAATAATTGTGTTTCTTGACCTTAAGGCAGCGTTCCACTCTGTTGATGGTGAGGTTCTGTGGCGGTGTCTGTCAGTAAAAGGCATATCAAAGAAGTACACTACCCTTGTATAGGCTGTCCACTCAAACACTACTGGTCGAGTCAGAGCTTATGATGAACTGTCATCGGAATTGGTTACTTTAAGTGGTGTTCGTCAAGGTTGTCCGCTTTCCCTATTTTTATTTAACTTTGCCATAGATAACATTTTCATCATCTGATTTTTCTGGGGTTGATCTTATGCTAGTAAATTCACTTGTAGACTTAGAGTAGACAGATAATATAGTTTTGTTTGGTGACAACACTAACGAAATGTAGGTCTATGACCACATTAAGATGTGATTCTCACCCCCAAAAGCGAAATTTTGTTCCGAGACTGGCTTGCGTTAGCGCCTGAATTAATAACAGGAAGAGAAGTGGTCGAGCGTACCGACCACCTAACTGATCTTGAGTCTCATCAGTATTTATGGTCTGGTGTCTGACGAAATCTCGGCACAGATCCCAAGAGCTCGATTGGCTATTGTCAATTTGCATCACCTGTGATGTAGGCGAAATATCCATCTCCCGATCAAAACACGAAAAACAAATGTCAGATGCTTTAATCGGGTTGGTTCATGTGGAGGATTGACCTAGGGAAGTTGGAAAACCCCGATTCCAAACTAATGATGCACATGAGGTCCAGGATCCTGAGGGAACAAATGGTGTACGAACCAATTATTAGTCACCAGCTACCATGGGACTACATCTCCTGACGTTGCTCCACTGCTTTGCGTATCAGATCATTAGGTCGAAGTCTTTGAGTGTGGCTTCCTAGGAAAACCGCTTGCTTCGGTCTTGTTATAACAATAGTGAATGGTAACTTTGGGATCCATTTATGGACCAATATTATGCATATAAATTTTATCGTACAGTTGCTAAATAACCAAACTATTTATATTCGTGTTCCCCTTATTATAAGCTTTATTTTGACCTATAAACTATTATTATACGACTTACCATTCTTGAGTTATCCCTAGTCTATTAATTGTGGCCTCCCACATTCATAGCCACATTTGGCTGAATCATGTACAAATGTTATTTCCTATTTTATTGGTACGATGTGGTCAGTCTGTTTGATATATAAACTCAGTATGTTTGAAATATAATGATTCATACCACAGAGGCTGTTCTGGACTTAACTGGCTGGGCTAGGCAGAAGCAGAACCGATAAGTACTCTAGACTGCTCGCACGGTTTTCGTGTGTCACTGTTCCAATCGATAATTCGCTGCCCTCTGATTGGAGGTTTAATCACGTCATACGTTAACAAGGTATTCACTCGGCCACAAGTTATAACAGGTCTGGGCACCCGGGCAATATAACAGCCCACACACAAATCAAATGACTTGTGTGACTCATATCTATTTGGTGCCTCTTTGTACCAATATTTGTCCTCAAATAAATAAATAAATAAGCCCTTGTAATCTTTTTTGTCGCACTAATTTATATTTTATTCTCTAATCGTATCTTCGGTGACTAATCTTCTTAATCATTACTCATATTGTTAGTACCTCTACTAACTTTGGATTCGGTCTGACATCTCGCTCTGCTAATGGGGTTTGGAAACTTGAACTGACGTACATACGCACCAGACTCTACATTGCGACCGACTGACCAACATAAATAAAACTGTCAACACTCCTAATCAATGACACAGGTTAGCCTTGAAACAACAACGTATTTGTTAAGTGAAAAATACACCCTAAACATTTTTATACAGTCACTTGTTCACAAAACCGTACTTTCCGACCATTTCACTTAACAGGAATATATTATCTGAGTATTCTGGATCCCGCTGAAAATAGACTAGAAAGACAAGCGAAAAAAGTATTATTATTGAAATCATTACTTACTTAGGTATAGGCTAAAAAGCATGAACTGATCACGAAATTCATCATACGAACGAGATCTAGGCCTAGAATGTAATTAAAAGGATATAACTTAATTGTAAGTTACAATTAGCCACACATTAACAACCAGTGAATCTGAAAAATAACCAAATGATCTAAACGTAAGGTATTTATCCCCTACTGGATTACGGGTTAGATATTCGCTTAGAATATAATACAATTATCAGTAAAAACTATAAATATAACTTTTAATTAACCTGGAAGCACTGGGCGGCCGTTTCGTCCTACTATGGGACTCCTCAGCAGTGCGCATCCACGAACCCGCTCTCGCGAGCGAGATTCGAACCCAGGACCTACCAGTCTCGGGCCAGAGCCCTTAACCGATAGACCACTGAGCCGGCCTTCAATGGTGTTAATGTCTAACTTCAACTGATCCACGAAGTTGAGCAACCATTCACCAATTGTCTTCAGTGAGCTGATATCTCTACAACAGACTTGGTAGAACTCCACTAGCCACTGCTTCCCACTAGAACTCCAGGACATGTATCTTGAAGTCAGTCACTAGTGAGCATATGATTATAATCAGCAGGGGATTTGTGGAGATTTCAGTATATTTCAAAGTTGAAATCATGAGTCAATTGAAGCTAGACCACCATCGAAAACCTGGAAGCACTGGACGGCCGTTTCGTCCTACTATGGGACTCCTCAGCAGTGGGACTCCACAAATCCCCTTCTGATTATAATCATATGCTCACTAGTGACTGACTTCAAGATACATGTCCTGGAGTTCTAGTGGGAAGCAGTGACCAGTGGAGTTCAACCACGTCTGTTGTGAGATAACAACTCACTGAAGGCAATTGGTGAAGTGTCGCTCATAATTCGTGGATCAGTTGAAGTTAGACATTAACATCCGTTGGATGCCAGCTCAGTGGTCTATCGGTTAAGGGCTCTGGCCCGAGACTGGTAGGTCCTGGGTTCGAATCTCGCTCGCGAGAGCGGGTTCGTGGATGCGCACTGCTGAGGAGTCCCATAGTAGGACGAAACGGCCGTCCAGTGCTTCCAGGTTTTCGATGATGGTCTAGCTTCAATTGACTCATGATTTTAACTTTGAAATATACTGAAATCTCCACAAATCCACTTCTGATTTTAATTAACCAATATTATATTTTCTATCTTGAAAAACATTTAGTTCGACAGCTTATTGATCGACTTTTAATACGTAAGTATTCAACGTCTGATTACTAAGTTAAGCACTCCTGCCTATTAGTATCACATGATCAAATGAACACAATAATCCATATAATTACGCTAAACTAAGATGGTATAGGGCCTGACTGCATGCAAAAAATAACCTTCCAAAGTACGGGGGAGAAAAATAATTTTTATAAGGCGATTTATCAATAGCCCACAAGTAATTCAAATACCACTCACCAGATAAGCATAATACCAGAGTAGGCTGTTGACATAAAATGAGATATATTCCACCACCCCTTAATGCGTGACCCATTGGCAATAAGAATGCGTTCGCGAATAGTTAATGTGCAGTAGTACCATACCAATAGAAAATGAAAAATAGTATCCACAATTCTAAAAACAAATGATAAATTGACAGGAAGATAGTTAATTGCACAAATGATTAACTCATTTACCAAATACTCCGGTACACATCTGCACCAAGTTTTAACGTTGGCTATCACTAAATGTCCACGTCAAATTTAACAGATGAAAAGACGAAGTGAAAAATATCAAGTTTCCTGGGAAACCGTATTATAATATAGGAATTATGGATAACTTTAGATGCTCTCCGAAACAGACTAGGCGAACTCATACCGCAAGTGATTAGGAATGCACAAATTATGCTAGAAGGTTATCTTCTCTTTCTTTTTCGATGTTCTACATTTTAAGTAAATTCCCCTATCAGTGAGTTGTAGATTTAAATTCTACTCTACCATTTTGCGTCTTGAAGCCTCATATTGTTTTTAGTCCGCATACAGTGTGGTTGGAAGTCTTGTACATTAGTCGATACACGATAACCGGTTTTAAGGCTACCTGCACATCACTTAAACAGGTGAAAAGTGGACTCCGTTTCCAAGAAAGCAGAAAGAAAGTCTTTCGGCTTCCAAAATCATCTACTTACGACATCCAGGTCATATATCTGCACAATAACACGGTACAGAATGCTGTACAGCATTCATCAGAATATTGCTAGGTTTTATGAGAAGTAACTATTGGTGTTTATCGCAAAATTAAAAATTGAATGTCGACATCATTGTCTAGAACTACTGGTTGTCATCAGCCTAAATGACTTTCCACAATTCGATCACGACCATACAAATTCAAACAATATTTAACCATATAGTTATCCTTATATCCTTCCTATAGCAGTGGCTCCAAAATCTTTTTATCAGCAGGGTCTAATGACTATTTAAGGTCATGGTGGAGTATAAAACCAAGTAGTACTTGTGAAATGCAACTATGAAGGTTAACTGTTGCTGCCACCAGAACCTGTTGAAACTCTTTTCCTTAAAACCCGATTGGCCCTTATAAGCTAATAAGACTCAGAAGTATTGACTGAACCAGGATCTACGCACCGGGACGAACAAAGACTTCAATTAGCGTCCTTCGTAATAGGTATTCAGATTTCGGCGCCCAATACTGTTAAGATGTATACAGACAAGCTTTGAAATTTAAATCTACTAAACAACTTGTACGTAAACCCCTCTCGCCTTGGAAACGTTCGGTTGTGTTGAGGCATTAACTATGTTCGGTTATTTTTGCCATCACTTGAACAACTAATGTATTTAATCCACTCATAACTTTGGAGCCAACAAGATATCGTCATTCAAGCAGTGACAGAACCAAGCATTACAAGAGAGATTAAACCCAATCTTATGAGGACTGTAATGAACCATTCTCCCTCAATTATAAACTCCTTGTAACAGATATTTAAGGTGATGTTATAAAGTCAGTTGGATATTTATTATCGATGCACCTTAATGTGACCTGGTCTATTCAGTCACTGATTTTACACAAGAACCCCCTAGACGCTGTCATCAGAATAATTGGTGCCTAACGAAAGAGAATCTTGATACACCATATAAGCATCTGAAATGTCCACTGAAGAATCAACGGGGTGTTTTTTTCCTATGAATAACTGAGAAATTATTTTAACAAAAGCATCTCAATTTACACCTCCTAAACATTAACTAGAGACTTTCGCAATTAGATTACATACTAGTGCGTAAGATTGACGATATGCTTAGCACTTCTTTAGCCCACAAAATGGTCACACAGTACTATTATCGAAGTTTATGACTTGGAACAACGTACGGTCAGGATCATATATGTTCAAACATTCGATGCGAAAAAAGTCATGATTATTTGACAATAGCGAAATATATATACTATTTTTAATAGCATAACGACGGACTCACCTATTCTGAACGAAAAAGTAGAGCAGAAACGCCAGAAATGCACATATTCCCGAAATAATTATTTTAAACCGTTCGTAATCATTTTTGTATCTAAATCTGCGCACATTACAAAAAACTAGTTATTACTTGTCCTCCTTGTTAGTAAATGATATATTAAGAGCTCCAAGTACGATACGCAAATACAAGCTATCAAATTAATACGTACAGTCTACATACCCAGGTGTGCGAGGTAAAACGTCTTCAATATCCCGTAAAACATACTCTTTTTTAAGAATATCTATTTTGGCCTTTTCTAGAATGGTAATCTCATCGCCCGTAGCATTTTTTTGAAGACTGCCGAGTTTTAGATAAAGACAGAATACCTTCCAATTTCATGCTTCAAAAGTTTCATGTAGTTTCGACAGTGTTTAACACTACGAACGCAACTTGTCTCTTCCTCCTTGAGTTTGTTCAGTGACATAACCAATGATGAGTGCTTTTCCTAGAAAAAATTACCAGGATGTGTTTTATAAAGCAGTCGTAATTATACTTGCAACTGTAACCAGTCCTTCTGGAAACTATCGAATGCTCCCTGAAAGTCTTCCATAACTCTGTAACCTAATGTGTAAACGCGAACAGACTACTGTCAAGTGTGGTTCCAAATTGCCCTCCCTGAAGTCAAGGAGAAATATTCGTCCCAATTCGTGATTGGTCGGTTGAGGTACGTTTAAGTGTACATTGAAGGTTTCAAATGGCTTCTGACGGTTCTGGACGGAATAGAAGCTTTCACTTAATAGGCCTCCATATCTAGCAGTAGTTAATCACCGGGGCTTCCAAGAAGGAACCTAGATATATTTAACGATAAAGTGGGAGGTAATTACAGCGAGATACTGTCCTTAATCCTTAAGAATATGCCAAGTTTTCTCTTAAAAGATTCTTGGTAAGTTTCTTGGACCATTTCAGCTGGCAGAGAGTTCTAAAATTTGGCTACTCTTAAGGAGTAGGTGTGCCTTTATTCCTTTCTGCTATGTTATTCCTCGTTTATGGGTGTTACCCCCTAAAGTTTGTGTTAGGACTGTGCATAAAAAGGTACTTAAAAGTGCCCAAAGGTGTTCAGGATGACATAGGTCGTCAAAATGTCACCTCTAAAGTGCTTATAATCCGATGAGTAAAAGTTCAGTGATTCGAGGTGCTATTCAAAGGGCTTGAATTTTGGTCTCCTGATTTCGTAGCTCGATATTGGATACGTTCCAATATATCCTTATACCTTTGGAGTGAGGAGAAAAACACTAAGTTTCCACACTCTAAATGGGGTCCGATAAAACTGTTGAAGATTAGGTTTAAATTCCTACCATCGAACTGATCAAAATGCCCTTGAAAGATGTCAGTGCTTGAAGGCCTTTTTCGTCTCGGTTGGCGTAAGAGATCAAATCATAGAATACCATCACTCTTAGACCATTTTCAACTTCGGATACCTCTGGAGAGCAGTTACTCAAGTTATATTCGCAGTTTGCAACATGTCTCAGATGGACTACTATACATTTCGGAGTGTTAAGGATGAGACCTTTGTTGTCCGCCCAAATTTGAAGTCAAGTCCGACCCCCCTGAAGTGCCAACTTATCATCCTGGCTTCAAACTTCTCTCCACAGTTTCACATCACCAGTGAAAACAATAAACCAAACAATACCTGCTGACGAAATTCGTTTCCATAAAAACGTCCTAGTGCTGAATCCTGAGGGACCCCGTTAGGACATCCTATAGCTTGAGGCAAATTAAAGTTTACACTGACCTTAAAAGGCCGATCATTTATATATGAAGTAAGCCAATCAGTTGACAGTGACTTGATACCCAATCGCCTGATAAGACATAAATGATTGACCCCATCAAAAGCTTCTGATGGTTCAAGGTATATGGCGCGAACCTTCCTCCTGAGATCAAGGATAATTGTCCATCTCTTCACCTTGGTCAGCAGTTCAGTTATACAAGGATAACCCTTTCTCAAGCCGAGCTATCGGGGTAAAAATAAGTTTATGGGTGACAAGTAGTCACGTAGACCGTCGTACACAAGGACTACATAATTTTGGAGGGTATTGTGAGAAGTTCTGCTGGTCGGTAGCTAGAAGGTTCGCCACATCGATCTCCTTTGAAAACTGGGTTAATGTCAGCAAGCCCCCAATTTTTTGGTACCATGCCTTGGTTTAGTGAGTATAAGAACCCCACGCTGAACGGTTTTGCCAGGATTGAAGCTGATTCCCTCAGTATAGTAGGATGGCCCATATCCCGGCTTGGAGACATGTACTTGTTCAGGTGCTTCAGTTTCTGACACACTAAGTTACTGCTCAGGTTCACTTCTGAGAGTCCTGTTGAGCTGCACATGAAACTTTTATCGATGTAGTTGGTCTGGGACGACTGAAATATCTGAATGTACTGTTCTGCCAAAAGGTCGGCGGAGTCACCTTTGTTGTTGGATAGGAACTAGCAATTGAAAAATTCCGTCTTCGGCTTGTCGAGGAGAGGCTGCATGACGGAATAAGCCTTCCGAATCGGAGACAAGTCTATTGATTAGCTTTATCTGATAGTAAACCCTATTTTCTCTCGTTTCCTTTGCACATTGGTTCCTTGATTGTTTGAATTGCCTGTAAGTGCTGTTGCTACTAGTTTGTTTGTTTCGCCCAAGAGTACTTTTTCCGTCTAAGCATTCAAGGAGTGCTATTATTCATGACTGTGTTTTGCTTGCATTTGGCGGGGCACTTGCGGGAGAGACTATTTTTTAGCACAAAAAATGTTGTGCAGTGAGAAATCTCAATGAGCATCCATATCAAGTTGATGATGCACTTCCCAATCCACGTGTTGTAGATTTGGTTGTAAAGCTGACACATTCAACCATTTGCAATTCCAACGCCTGTTGTTAGTAGGATGTTTTATTTCGGTTTTGTTGATAAAATTGGAGGACATAACGGTATGATCACTTTCACCCAGGGGAGTAAGGATTGAGAGGTTATCAATTGGGAATTCTTCGTTTCGTAAGTGTGCATTCTTAGCGTGACTGTGTCTGACTATTTTTCCACCGAGTTGCTGACTTCACATATTCAAATAATTTCAGTTGTTCAGTGAGGCTGAAGAACGGAGTTTCAGCAGCATTGTCACCGCAAATGTACGTGCATTCAGCAATGTTGACTATGAGATGGCTGAAATCTCCTGAAATCACAATACAACTGTATCCGAGGCGAATAGAGCGGGATAATTCTTTCAGCATACGATTGTCGTACTCAGTGTCTTCAGTGAGCTCACTGTAGACTTCTCCAACTAGATACCTCGAGATTTTGAACAGTCTTACTGAGTAATAGGCAGACTCATAAAGATCGATAAACTCCTCAGTGTACACTTGGTGTGATATCAAGCAAGATCGTTCGTACAGGGCTACCTCACTCCCCACTCCTGTTTCTGCCGAGGACCCTAGTTCATACTTCACTGCTTGTCTTTATTTGTTTATCCGCCTGAAGACTGTCTTTTTAAGGGCTTTCAAAATTTTTCGTACACCTGTCAATGGAACGATGTTGCTCGGCAAATCGTCAGCATTCACGCAACATTTGCCATATATCCATCTGCGATCCGGTTTGCTAAGTCTATTATAAGCAGTTACTGAAAGATCTGCGCATGCCTTATGAGACCAACCTTTGCACTTGTCACAGAGCATACCACAGGTAACAGTAAAACGATATGCAGGTCACTTACGTGGATTCTTTATCATCACAATGAAATGTGAGTTATTAGATAGATCCTAGAGAGAGTTTACGACCGTAGGCGAAAACAAAAAACAATACACTGCAAACGGATAGGACATAAAAACTGGTGATACAAATGTTTAGGATATATTTAGACCAGCTTCTGTGTGGAAAACTGTGGACACCGAATAGTAAGCTGGAGCAAAATCATAGTTAACCAATAGCTTGGGTAAAACTCAAAAAGAAAAGTAGTCTACTGAACGTTTAGCCCAGGACAGATTCTTTGAATGGAAAATAGTAATTTTGTTGCCTAAGGATACAGCAAAAGCTTGACAAATGCAAATCACGTTAGAACTATACTTCCATCACAGTTACTGTAATGGAAAGAACATGCAGCATGTTATTGGACAGTATCGTCACTTGTTTCCTTCTTCTCCCTGTATTATATTTCCACCTTTATTCAGGCCCCCCTTGACCGCACCTTATGTTCTTCAGTTCTCCTCATCTGAGCATCCGTTAAATGACTTTGTTTGAAGACTTGCATTTTATTACTTTGCTTTACTGTTGCATATTGCCCAACTATTAACAATAAGGTCGTACGTGACTAAACTCAAGGTCATGATGTGGTTCGGTAGTGGCTGTTAACATTTGACCATCTGCTTGGTAAGGTTGTTGGAATGTTACGGATACATATTTGATCCCATTTCTTTGGGAATATTCTTCTTGATTCTCAGACATCGAACCATTGTTTATCAACTGTTTACTTTCTTGTTTAGCACGTTATTTTGTGACCCTTGACTGTATAACACAGAATGCACCGTCTGAGGTATCTTATAATTTGTATGTGACTTGTTCACCTTAAATTAGAACTGTCCAAAGTGAATGCAGAGTTTGCTTTTTACATAAGTTAGTAAGATTCGCCCAAAATCGCGTTCAAACCGCATATTGATCTTTCGGTCGTTACGGTCATTGCCAGGAATTCTCTCCTCAAACAGGTTCAAATGTCGCACACGTAGTCCGGAGGCTCGGTTGTTTTCAAGGAACACGGATATAACTATATCATCCAAATGTTAACATCAACTTAAAATCTGTTCATTCTGACTCAGCACCGGTGGTAAATCAGGGGTTAGTGAAAAGAAACCAAGCAGTTTTTAAAGAGTAGAAGTAGATAGAAGCTGGAATAATTGCTGTTAGTGACCGGTATTATTATTGTTGGTGTTTTTGGAATGAAGAAATAGATCTCGGATTGATACTTTTGACAACCGTGGGATTCGGATCTTATTCAAATCCATTCTCTGGGCAGCTAAAATTCCAAGATGATTAATCAAAGTCATTTTATTTTGGAACTTGATATGTTATCGTGAGAAGTGTTAGAAATTATTTTCGTCATAACGAACTCGAAGGGCCATAGCTATGCGATAATTTTACCGTGATATTTGGTGTATTACCCGACTATATATGTGAAGTCAAACAAATTATTTGCCTCACGTTAACTGTTCCTCCTTACGTGTAGTCCGCTGGAGAATGTATGACCCCGGTGTATTCAAAGTTTGGCGATCTTCCACCAACTCCGGCCGAACTTCGTAGTTGTTCTTAATATACAACTGGAAGTAAGCATGCATTTATCTAAGAGTTGGCATTATCTGGTGAAGAATAAGATGGCCAAATAAGTAACGCGCTTAATTTGCTTTCGATCGACAGGAATATAACTCAACCTTCAGCTATTCTATGGCTAGTGTCGGTCCAAAGACAGGAGAAAGGAAGAGGGTTGAGCATGAGGTTAGCAGCCCGATTCCGTGGATAAAATCGTGCTAAAAAATGGCTAGCCAGAATAAACATATTAAACCATTCGAACTCCGTCATGGCACTTGGACTATCTTTTTTCGGAGGAATCATGATGCCTCATGATGAAAGTTGATATTCTTCGAATGTTACGTGGTCGATGACATGTCTAGCAACCAGAGAAACATTTATTATAGGTATATGGAATATCTGGACAGCATGGTA